CAAAAAAAGTATTATATGAAACAATTTCACAAGATTAAACAATTTCATGAAAAAATTTCATAAGATTAAACAATGAAATCGACAGATGAAGGTGGTTTGCATGGTTTACACAAATGAGGGCGGTTTTCATATGATCACTCCTCTATATATATATATATATATATTTAGGATTTCAAAGTACCCGTATTTTTTTCATACATTATTGACCTCTTGTAACCTAATATAATCTTAAGTACTCTGTTGTCTTTAAAACAAGCATAACATCTCAAGGTATAACCAACATGCACTTTTGGTTCTAGGATTGATGGTTCCAAAACAGTTTATTCTAACCCTAAAGGTTTAAAACAATGATGAAAAATATTGACATGGGCTGCGATAGAAACCTAATTGATTTATACCGGTTTACATAGAGCATTAGTCCGAATAGTCAACTTATCGAGGGCCGTGTTATACATCTCGGCCAGGTCCTAAAAAATGCCATGAACAGACCTATGAACGACCCTAAACAATATAAAATTGGCCCCAAAATTTTGGAAGAAATGACACTGATAAGAACGGCCTATATCGAAGATTTGTGGGTGTTCCATGTGAATTGCATACCTCAGATTCTTCAGTAACATGAATTCAAACTGAAATTAACATGAGAGACGATGAAAAATAACCTTCCAATTATGGATTACCTCTAGAAAAACAGAAACGATGATTAAATTTCTAGTTGTTGCCTTCCAACTCGAAGATCTCCTCTTCATTCTAGCAAGAAGAGTGGCCTCTTCTTTAGATATATATTGCAATCTTTTCTCAAAATCATCAGCATGTAACCTAAACAACACATTCCAGACTCGAGAGAAAAAGCTCCTCTTTGTCTTTTTGTCTGTATTGTCATCTTCTTCACCCATTTATCCTAATTAAATCAATAACCCTAAATACAATTAAAACAACACAACATACAAAAAAAAAAAAAAAAACAGATTCACAATCGACGTTGTCCTTGAATCAAAACCCTAATTAAGAAACATGTTAAGCTCGCATTGAATCGAGTACCTGAAATTAATAATCGACGTATAGGTTTTTGCAGATGGCTCGAATTGCAAAATCTTCAGCTAAAATCGATGAAGACAAAAACCGATTGTGATCGGCGGTGGCGGTAATGGATTGTAACAATTACAAGATTTTGTTGGGTAGATCGGAGATCGGAAGGGACAACGGACTTTGCTTGGGTCGGGTGTAAACCATGAAACTTGAACCGCGAATCTAGGTTGGTGGTGACGTTCGGAAAGGAATGTAGGCATAGCTGGGTGCGGTAGGGGCGTACACGTCGTATGGACATAAATCTTTTTAAACTAAATTACATTTTTAGTCCATGTAGTTTGGTGTTTTGAACGAATCTCATCCATATTTCAAAATTTTAACGAGTTGAGTATTTGAGGTTGCATTTTTCAACAATCTTGGTATATACAGTTGTAATTTTTAACGAGTTGAGTCCCTTTATCGTCAAATCCATCAAGGACTCAACTCGTTAACAAAATGCAATGACATGGACCTAACTCGTTAACAAAATGCAACCACGTTGACTCAACTCATTAAAAGCACCAAATCACAGGGATGAAACATGTGATTTACTCAAGTTTTGTATATATAGCGATGAATGATATCGCAGATTATATATATAACCATTAGTTTCTATATAGCATCAAAAGCACTCTCTCGATATTAGAGTTTAAGGGTGTTATTGTAATTTATCTTTCGCTAGGAGAGTGGTAAACTTCTAAATTCTGGTCATGTTTAGCCTAGCACGCTGACTGTTTTGACGTAATGACTGAGAGAATTTCTTCAAGAATCACATCCATTCTCAACATCCTTCATCGTGTACGAAACTGCGTGAGGCTATACATCAAACATTTGGAAGTTATACTGTTGGTACCAGCAGTTGTATGACAACAAATATCATATATGTTATAAGGACGGAGCATTGAGGACGAGTACATTTTTGGTTGTTGCTTTTATGTTATTGTATTAGTTTTATGCTAGTGTAACCCTTGAAATCCCTTTTGTATATTGTATATTATCATCATCGAATTATGGATATTGACCTTCGACCTGTCAATGTACCATCATTGTCGCTCTAATCGTTACCATATATGGATGCCGAACACCAACGAGAAAATATTGTCATCGAATCTGTTCAAAATACTCCCATAACAGATTCGACCCTCAATGAATTCGTCGTTATTGCTCATTTGTCTGTTGTTTCTCATATTTGATGATTTTCAATCATGTTTAAGGGCCTTATTGTCATCTTTGTTTTAGTTATGGCCTGAGATTAGCAAAAACAGATGTATGCCTATTTTTCACTGTTTTCATTGAATTCTAAATTTTTTCACTATTTAAATTCTAAGAAAAATAGTCTTGTTGATTTAGAATTGTATCTGTTGCTACTGGCTACTGCTGTTTTACCTCCACAGTACAGTATCGTCATCGCAGTAGAGTTTAAGGAAAGAGAGGGATGTGGGTTCTCTCGCTTTTCGCATAGTGGCCCTGCTCTTGCAACTGGGTTGTTACGATTGACACTCGAACCCACAACTAGCTGGGGAGAAATGTGTTCACAAAATCTCTCTTACCGTAGTTATAGTTCAAAAACTATGGTATCCCAAAGTTTACTGTAAATAAATATCAGTAAATTTTAGGATGACATAACTTTTTAATTGTAACTTGAATCGAGATTATTTTGTTTTGAAGTTGTTATTTAGACTAATTCACTTTATAAAAATTAAATATATTAAAAATTATAATTAAATTATTTAAATATACTAATTAACTATTTTAGTATTTAAATAGGTTTATACTTGGATGATCAACGTAAATTTTGGGCTTATATATATTTCCATTTACTTTGTGGGCTAAACAGGTTATCATGCAGGCCCAATTGCTATCATTTTCAGATGCAATCATAATAATCAAGATGGGGGAGAAAGAAGGAAGACAATAGGGAAGGGTTTAAACGATAACATCTTCATTTTATGAGAACGTGAGAATACCCTTTTAATATAAACAAGCACATGTGATATTAAACCAGAGACGCGGACGATTTTCGATGCGATCTTGGTTGCGGACCAAGTCGCTCTTACACCACTAAGCCCCCTCACATGTGATAAGGGTGTTGTTGATATGATACTATAATTCATCAAGACCATCACATGTGATGCAAAATCATAGACGCAGACAACCTTTGGCGCGGGCTAAGTCGTAGTACACGTCGTCCACACATCACAGGGTCCCCCTCACGTGTATTATCACATGTGATAAGGGTGTTACTGTGTTATCGTAAAATAAATGTGTTCTCGTTTGAACCTCCACATGTATATTATATTTCAATAGTTAGGATTTAAAATAAGTTTCAAGTATATTTGTGTCACATTATCCGACCGACTTACGCGAACAACTTATGAACAAAATTACAATCTTCAATCTCTAATATCCATTAATGAAATTGCAGACTTGTTAATCTATCCTCTCTCCCCACATTTTAACTTTTGATATTGTATTTTTAATTTTTTTTTAAATATAAAATATATTAGGTCCGACCATAACAGTTGGAAAGCTTGTGTTCCGTCCCTAAAGACAAATAATAAAAAAACTAAACATTAAAATCAAGATTTATTTCGCTGCATTGTACAAATACACTTTTGGTATTATAATACGTGTATATACTCTTAACCACATGAGTAATGCGATATGGTTTGTTCACGTGTATTTTAATTAATTAATTAATTAATGGATAAAACAGAAATCACGAAATCTAAGAATAACGAGGGGACCACATATCATGTATGTAACCTTTGAGAAGGGGAATAAAAACTGACACCAACCAGACTTTGTAATCCGTAGCCTTACTTAACCTCCCACATTTTATTATCCCATGTGCTTCCTCCTCTTTTTCTCTAATTTGTTCATTATTTTAATATGATATTCCATAATTATATTTACACTACTAGAAAACTGGGTATTTTCAGCACAAAAATCCATCGGAAAAATATAGCTGGATTTCCGACAGACAACAAAAGAATCAACTTATGTTAATTTTTACTAAAAATCTGCCGGTATTTTATATCAAACATGTTATTAAATATTTATTTTTTAGATATTTATGTGATAATAAATACAAGTATGTCAGTACTTATATTCTCTGTCACTTGTAACAGAATATAGATAATTATTTTTCTTAAATAATTTACCAAAAATAAATAAATGACAAAATCTATATATGAAATATAAGTTTATGAACCTAAGAACAAGTCAAGACAATGGTAGAATGTAAAAAGAGGATTCAGACGTGAACCGACACCAAAATAGTAAATAAACAGAGACTAGACGAATACTAAATATTAAACAAGTACAAAAATCAACGTGTACTCGTATCTGTTTTGTTACTATCAGTATTTGTACGAAGAACTATTTAAGTATATCATATGTACCATAGGCCATATAACATAGAGGTACGTACAAACGTCCTATTTTGTGTTTGTTTTAATATTTTTTTTTTTGATTTTGTGGTATATTCAACTATACGGTGCAGCATGATGCAACTGGGGTGGATGTTCTTTTTGCCCTGATTTTGATTTTTTTTTTAAAATTACAACGAGACGTATAGGATTTTTCATGTATGTTTAACATGTTACGGTTGTGAATTGAGCGTGTACAATGTGACTTTTTTGTACACTTGTATGGCAAAACGTTGGTTAGATAGTAAGTTCGATTTAAATTACAATGAAGCTACACGATTATTAGTCATTGTTAACCCTGTGGACTTAGCGGGTGTTTGGGATTGCTTATAAAAACAACTTATTGAGTTATTTCAGTGTGACACCGGTAATAAACACTTTTAAGTGTTTGGATAAACAGCTTATACCAGTGTCAAACTGGTAACAAGAAGTTTTTGAATAAGTTAAATCAATCTAACTTATAATAAATTGATAAACGTTTTTCTACAACATAAGTTGTTTCAAATAAGCAATCTCAAACACCCCCTTAACTCAACTGATAATAAAAATTGAGCTTTTGGTGATTTTTCTAACGAGTCATCAGTTCAAGTCCTATAAGACTACTGAGGATTTTCTTTGTCTATTCTCCAAGACCTTTGAAATTAGTCGAAATACGTACAAACCGATCCGAACACCAACGGTTAAAAAGTTATTTTGTATTATAATGAACTTTCGTGTCATTTGAGAAAATACAGGGAAATTGATCGAAATGACCATTTCTCTCATTGTAATTGGTCTTCTAACCATTTTTCTCAAATGTCACTATCTTTGCAAGTGACACCTCTGTAATTTGCAGAGGTAGCTAAAAGGAAAAAAAAAACAATTTCTGCCCAGGTTTACAAGTGACACCTCCATGTTTTTCGGACCTGGACATAAATTAGCGGATGTGTCATTTGCAAACCTGGACATAAAATGTAAACTTTTTTTTTGTCTTTTAGCTACCTTTACAAATTAGGAAGATACCAAATACAAAAACCAGACATTTAATAAAAGTCGAGAGATTAATGACTAACAAACCCTTCTCTTCGATACAGTGTAGAATAGTTTGGTAGCTCGCAAGGTCAGGGACGAACCCATAATTTTTTTCAAACGACGGCACCATTTAATTATAAAAAAACTATAAGGAAAAAATTTCAAACAATGATATCGTTTGACTATAAGAAAAAATATACGAATATTTTTTTTTCAATCGATGACACTATTTAACTAAGAAAATGACATTAATGGGTCCTGAGTGAAATAAAAGTCTTGCAAACCAACTTTACTAAATAAAACTTGTTCTCGTTATAGTTTCAAAATACATACGATAACACACAACAAATTAATACGATTATATTTTTCACAAATCTAAATTATTTTATCCTTCTTGGAGAAATAATACGACCATGGTAGTTCCGTCCATGCGCAAGGCTCGTGACCTTAAGTGGGAGAAAAAAATACCCAAATTTCCAAAAATAAATGAGCAGAAGTTTGTTATGATAATGCTTAGGTGGCAAGGTTTGGGGGAATCCTTCCATCATCATTATTCCAAGACCACGGGGTGATGTGTTGGGACAGCCGTTTCCTTCCCGTCATTCTAATTTGACGGAATATTTACAAAAATAGCTGCAAAAAGCGTCACGTCTCTAACTCCACCGTTATCTCTGCTTAGCTGGATGCATTTGTTGTGACATCACGTGTTTTCCTTTTATCTGAAAGGCTCAGCT